AGTGCTGGGCAAGCCCTGGAAAGCTTCTAAGACCCAGTGCCGATCAGCTGTGAGGCGGGGAGGGGGCGGGAGCGGAGAAGAGAACAAAATGGCTGCCGCCTCCCTGCTGGATCCGAGCTCCAATGGTGCTGGTAAGACTGAAGTGGGACTTCTGAAAGGGGGACCTCTGAAAGGGGCGCTGGGGGGCGGGGGTGGGGTTCGCCCTGCTCCCCCACAGTAAAGCGAGCCCTACTTTGTCTTGCGAACCAGGCCCATAAGAACATTTGTCTTACGAGGCACCAAAACCCTAGCCAGACCCATTCGTCTAGCGGTTTTTTCGTGCCGCGAGACGTTCATCTTGCGAGGCACCACTGTATATTGATCTGTGAACCTTTTGAGAGATTGAACAATATGCTGAAGCAACATACTCTTCTGTCTGTTGGATGAGGTTAATCTCAAGTAGTGATAGTAATTCTAATTCTGTGTGAGTTGATATATAGCCCTTATTCATGGGAGTTTGAACAGAACCTTCTCCCCCACTGGAGATGGGTATCCTGAGGAGAACTACTGTATGTGCTCTTTTTCTGCTACAGGGCCATGTCAACTTATCCAAACGGTTAAGGTGATCCACCAGACACTTCGGCTTTTCTTCACAGCAGCCAAGCTTGTATACTTAGAGATCATTTGAACAACAGTCCATAAGATCTAATAATTAAGTTCCTTCACTGTTACAGCTTTAGGTAAATGAGAAATTAACATCCACTGTGCTTGCTTGACAGATACAGAGTCCCAGAAAACTGAGGAGGTAATGACTGATCAAATTTCAGGAATTATTTTTGACACAAAAAAATGTTTGGGGGAAGTTTTATCTTGTATACTGGAAACAGAGCTGAAGATTGCTTATGGAGAAGACCTTTGGAAAGAGGTAATTGTTCTCTGAATGCTAGAGAGAAAATACATGCTTTAAACTTAAAAGACTATAATGTTACACTGTGCCTTTCTATGCATACTGGTATCTTGTTATAATAACTGATAATATTAATCTAACGTTAATTTTATCGAATAGTCCTACATCAATACCATACTCGTTGTTTTGATACCAGTCCTTAGATAGCCAGAATGGCACCTTCAGACATGAAAGAGAAGATTGAAGGAACTCAAGATTTCCAGAAGTAGCAACAAAAGATGGAGGAGAGAGGGACCCACCCCAATAATTTCACAAGGATTGAGCAATATATGATACAAATATCATGCAACATTCCATGGTTCATTGACTATAGGATGCAGGATGAAATTTGAATCTAATTTGCACACCAATCAGTTCCATTGTGCTATGTAATCCATGCTATGTAATCTTGACCATTTTCTTAAAACCATCACAGATTTTACATATCTTGTACATTATGAAATGTTGCTAAGTATGAAAAAACCCTACTCAAGATATTATCATCAGGTCCACTTTATGATGTTTATATATGGAGAAGAAACTGAGTTGTTAGCAAGAAGACCATATGAAGAGGCATTGTCAGGTGAAAAGATCCCAAACCAGATTTGTGTTACTTGTAACATAATCCCTTTTGTGGTGGTTGTGGGAGAATTGTGGAATCTTAGCAACTGGGTCTGACAGAGTGGCAAGAACTACATAACATGGCTGCTACATAACATGGAAGAGAGGATAATACTTATACTTTTTTCTTTTCCAGGTTGTCTATCGTAAGCCCCCGTGGACATTAGCAAACTTACTAGAGTGTTACAAAAAGCACTGGATGGCTGTTTTTGGACTGATTATAGCAAGAAACTTTTTTTCAACTATTGAATATCTATATGCAGAACTCTGTAAATGTAAGAAAATTTATAACGTTAACCCTTATAATTGCTTTTGAAAACTAAGAACATGAGCCAAATGGCATGTCAATAGTGAAAAACCTAAATCATGCTTAACCATGATTTCCTGGGGGAGGGGGGAACCCTCTCAAAACCATGAAGGGGTGATAGTTTTCTAACAGATCTTACTGTTCTCCAGGTACTAACATCTCCCAAGGTTTCATAGGGGAGTCTGTTGAAATTAGCCCAGTTCCAAACTGGTAGTGTCAACATTTCACAGTTAAACATTTCTCTGGACCTGGTGTTTTCCACTGAGCAGAGTGAGTCTGCTCCAATGGTGACTGACCAAGTGTCTGTCCCCTTGTCGTGGTCGGATCATTGATTAATTAAATGCAATCTCACAGTGGCTCTCCCACCCCGCGGGGAGCAAGGAATTGTTTTAATGGTTCGCCCTGAAAGGTTATTGGATCCTATAGAATTCCAGGACACCATGAGATGTATTCCAGCTGATTAGACTGGCGCTCCTGTCGAGGCTTTGATTGATAGCTGCCTGGCCGCCGCCACCAGGGCTGTTAACACAATCATACCTAAACGCCATATCCGGTTCAGAGATCGCGCTTCACCCTGGTTTAATCCAGAGCTGCGATCAATGAAGCGAAATAGGAGAAAGCTAGAGTGCATATGGAGGTGGAACCCGATGGAAAATAATCAAATAGCTGTCAGGATTGCGACTAACCTCTACCAATCTAAGGTGAAGGCTGGTAGTCGATCTTACTTTACTGTCTGGATAAGCAAAGCTTCCAAGCAGCAGGCCGAACTTTTCCGTATAGTCCACAATTTATCCAGAGTTGGTCATAGTGACTGGCCTCCCACTAGCATCTCATCTGACCAATTTGCAGCCTTTTAAAAATCAAAAGTGGAGGCTATCCGCCGGGATCTTACCCCCTATTTGAAAACAGTGGAGCGAGCAGAGACATCCAGTGTTCTATCTTGCCCAATGAGACTTAACCACTTTCACCCTGTGACATCAGACATGGTGGACAGAGTGCTTGACCGCTGTTGTGCCATCATCTCCTCCTCAGCAAGATAGTTGAGAGGGTGGTGGCTGGTCACCTGCAGGCTCTTCTGGATGAAACCAGTGCCCTGGATCCATTCCAGTCGGGCTTCAGGCCATGCCATGGCATGGAAACAGCATTGATTGCCTTGTTTGATGACCTACTGAGGGAGGCCGACAGGCAAAATGTCTCTGTTGGTCCTCCTTGATATCTCAGCCGCCTTTGATACCTTCAACCATGGTATCCTCCTGGGGAGGCTCTCCGAGTTGGGAATCGGTGGCCTGGCTCCATTCCTTCTTGGAGGACCGTCCCCAGAGAGTGCAGATTGGAGAGAGTTTCTCAGCCCTGTGGAGCCTCAATTGTGGGGTTCCACAGGGCTCGATTATCTCTCCAATGCTGTTGAACATCTATATGAGGCCGCTGGGTCATCAGGGGATGTGGGGCTTCATGTCATCAGTACGCTGATGATATTCAGCTCTACATCTCCTTTTTTTCCAATAACAGTGGATGCTGTTTCGTCCCTTGAGCACTGCCTGGGGGCTGTTCAGCAATGGATGCAGGTAAATTGACTGAGGCTGGATCTGGGCAAGATGGAGGTCCTTTGGGTAGATGTCCCAGACATCAGTGATCTGGGAAACTCCCTTTCCTTTGGGGGGGGGGTGACTCTTACCACCAAGAGTGAGGTTCGCAGCTTGGGTATACATCTGGACCCGGCACTCACCATGGAGACCCAGGTGCCATCTGTGGTTCATTCCGCACATTTCCACCTTCGGTGGATTGCCCAGCTGCATCCCTATCTTGATGTGGGGGTGTTCACCACTTTGGTCCATGCACTCGTAGTATCAAGATTAGACTACTGTAATGCAGTCTACGTGGGGCTGCATTTGAGACTGACGCAGAAACCTCAGATGGTACAAAATGCAGCAGCCAAACTTCTTACAGGGGTGAAAAGGTACCAACATATTTCCCCAACACTGGTCATCTTGCATTGGTTGCCCATTCATTTCCGTGTTGATTTCAAAGTTCTTACGATTACATATAAAGCCCTAAACGGTTTAGGATCTCGATATCTGGCAGAGCGCCTTCTCCCACCCAGTTCTGCGAGAGTCACTCGTTCCAGCCAGGTCAGGTGGCTGAGGGGCCTAACGCCAAGGGAGGTCCAGAAGGAAAGGAAAGGGGCCTTCTCAGCAGTGGCCCCTTGCCTTTGGAACAACTTGTCAGTGGAGATCCACCTGGCTCCCTCTCTGGGTGTTTTCAGGAATAAACTTAAAACCTGGTTATTTGGGCAAGCTTTCCCTCCTGCCGTATCTTAATTTCTTTCGCCACCTTGGATCTATAATATATGTTTTTGATTTTATTTTTTTAAAATTTGTAAACCGCCCAGAGTAAACCTTTGGTCTAGATTGGCGGGATAGAAATCCAATAAACAAACAAACATGGAGGCAGTGCAGTTGTCTGGGGCAGAGAAAACAGTAGCACATCAGCAACTACATTGGTTAAAATATGACACACTTTGCATGTCTAAACTTAGATTATAATCAAATTTATACCCAATTTATGTTATCTCTTTATCATAACTGAGCTATCCTGAGCACCATTCTTTCAGTACAGCAGCATACTGTAGATATCACTGTCCCATTTTATATTTCCAGCATATCAGTGGAGTATGGCCAAGACCATGTGGTCTGCTTTATGTCTGTGTACCTTGGTCTGAGTCCAATACTTTATTATATCATGTTGAGGTCATATCCTAATGAGTTTTTTCTTCTCTTCTAAAAACATCTAGGGTTAGCAGGCACTTCATTTCCATGGCCTGGGTCTCTTTGATATGATAACATATTTCAAAAATAGATTCTTTTGTTTACATAGTACATGTTTATAGGTATAGGCTAGGGCTATGTTTCATTAATTACACTAGATTTGCTGATGTAGTGTTTTTTTTAAATAGCATCTTGCAGAACACTTCTTCTGCTTCTCAGGAGTAGTCACAGGAAGGACTTATTCACTGGTGGTGTAGAATAGCAAGCGATCATTAGAAAAGAGATCCTGGTGGTAATGGAATGAAATACCACATGAAAAGCCTCACATGGCCAGTGATGACTGATGGCTTGGGTAGCCCATCAAAATGTGTAGTGTCAGAGGCACAAAACATCTGGCAGTTGTAGGTGTGCAGGTGGGAGAAGAAAGTGGGCCTGTTTGGGTTCAACAGATTCCTGGTGATGCATAATGAAACAAATCCCAAATGGGTCCCAGATCTTCAAAAATATGACCCAGTGATGGATGGGAGCAAGGTACCATTTGAGTGCCTTGCTTTTCTATTTTGTTGCTCCTAATGGTAAATATACTGGGTTTCAATAGAGAATTGCTTTTAGTTACATGATGTTGTTTGTTTTTCCTCCATTTCTTTCTCTCCCTTCCTCACCTCCGTCTCAGCTAAAGTAATAACACATTCAAATGTGAAGAAAGTGCTCCAGAAATCCAAAATGCTGTTGGAGACCTTTTGTCCAAGGTCAAACTATGATGGTGCCCTTGCACGGGCCTTGGATCAAGTGAAGAAACTACTTGAGGCACTAGAGAAGGTAAGAGATCCTAAGATTCCTTTTACAAGCACGAGTTCCTTTTACTTGGAGAAAAGACAGCTGGGTAGCAGAAGTCCTGAACAGAAGGATATCACACTACAACATTTTGTTGCAGTCCCCACCATTTATGTAGTCTACTAAACAGACTACATAACTGTTAGGATGTATCAGTCTGACGATAGTTATCCATAATCTACTAATTCATCACTTAGACTACTACAGTATTGCTTGTCAGGGCTGTCCTTGGAAAGTTCAGAACATGTACAACGGCTACAATTTAGATGGAACAGCTAACTGAGAACATACCTTGACCATTCTGAGAAATCTGTCTTGGTTACCAGTTTGTTTCTCAGTTCAATTTAAGGTCCTGATTTGGTTTTCAAGACCCTGTTTTTCAAAGGCTTAAAGATAGCCTTTTCCCCTGTATCAGTCTATTTGAATGCAGATATTCATGGAGGCTCCTCTTAGAGTGTAGCAGTGAAGTCAGGCAAATGTCCATAAAGGAAGTAGTCTTTTTCATTTGTGCCTTCTCACAGAGTACTGTTTATTGTTTCACACTTTACATTTTCAGATGAGTTGCTAAAGAAGTGTGGTTGGCATTCTTCTGAGGATTTTATAGGCTTTAGATAAAGATATATTTGTTCACTTGATATTTTGAGTGATAAATACTAGAAATGAAGTTACTCACTTCGCTGGATGATCTGGCTCTTTTATATAATTGCAGTATTTTATTGACTTATATTGTTCGTACATTTGTTTGCTATTTTTTTCTCAGTTCCAGTCAGGTACTGGAGCAAATTCTTCAGACACCTTCAAATCTACGTCTGGAGATTCTGCTTGTGAAAAAATGGAAGATGTGATTTTGACCCAAGAGATTCAGGTGGGAGATAAGTCACCGGCATCAGAGCCTTTAGCTGAAGGGAATAAGCACATGGAAATCTGGGCAGTCCTTCAGACTGTTTGGGACACAGTAAACCAATTCAGGTAACATGCTAAAAGAATGGTTTCTTCTCCAGATTAACTTCCTTTGTCGGACTTGCATATTAGCTGAACTACTGTATATTAATTGTGAGCGGCTGAGGGCTGTGACTTTCCTGTCTTTTGCCTGTCATTGTCAGGAAGGGGCCATTGATAATGATGGTGCTATATCCATAATGCTTCTGCTTTTAGAATTGCAATCCACAGATTGAAGATCATTGTATGTAAAGTTGAATGATTATATTATTTGAGGCTTCTGCCATTTTATCAACATTTTCCTAATTACTGATGGAAGGGAGTGTTTATTATTTGAGGCTTCTGTCATTTTATCAACGTTTTCCTAATTACTGATGGAAGGGAGTGTTTTTCTTGCCAGCATGATTCATAATCTTCATGAGTTTGCAAGACATGGGCCCATCATGGAGAACAAATTTGGGTGTGCATATACCTTTAGCATATTTAGCATATACCTTTCAGAAATCTGTTACCATTTGTGACTTCCTGTTCAGTTTTCTCACAGATACATACTGTATCTATAAATGGTTAATTGTTTTCACACTTTACATTCTTAAATTGCTAAATGTCTTAGAATCCCTACAGATGAGCATTGGATATCACTTGGTGTCTGGCACCTGCATGTAGCATCTGGAGCCACTGAAAGCTAATATGTTTTGAAATGATGTGTTGTGTCCTTTTAATATAAGTGTATGCCCAAATGTGCACTTTTCAGATATACAGTGATTTCAGAACACTGAATGTTTTGAAGGGGAGGTAGGATAACAAATAATAATGTTAATATGTAGATAATTGACATAAAAGAGAGGATAAAAGAGAGGAAGAGCTATTTATTTATTTTATTTATTTTTATTTATTTTATTTAATTATTAGATTTATACCCCGCCCATCTAACAACGGGCGGCTAACAATAAAAAATGGAATAAAAACAATATAATAAAGTAAAAAACAACAATAGTAATGTGCTAATTGGTTCTGTGGAAAATTAGAAGAGAGGAGAAAAGTTTCCAGTATTGCATTAACTGAGGGAATTCTGGGAGCTGAGGTCCAAGCAAGAATATTTCCAAGGTCTGTGAAACAGTTAATCAGTGATAAAGAGTGTAGGTGTGGACAAGGCGCCGTGGCAGAGCCGGAGGGAAGAGCTGAGGAAGAGGGGCGTTGGAGGTGCGGGCAGGGGATTCCTCCACGCAGGGAGGCGAAGACTCTGGGCAGGGTTGGCTCTCCCGCACGCTGTGGAAGGTGGGCGAAGCTCAGGATGGAGCCATCCGGTGAAGCAGCCAGTATGGAAACCCGCCCGAGCTCTCCCCGGGGCAGCGCCAAAGGAAAACTCTCCTCCATCTCCCCCCCCCATTATACGGGCTCCAGCCCAGGAAGCTGGAAAGTGGCCTCAGGTTCACCCGGGCGCCCCCACTCCCGGCCCCTTAGCTCGAACCCACTGCAGCATCACTGGAAGCCCAGGAGGCTGAGCCTCCCCTTTCCAAACCGTTGGGGTGAAATAGCTACAAAGAAGCAGCCTCTTCGCCACCAACGGTTTGAATTTCCCGCCATTTCCTCCTGTTGTTTTTTTCCGTTTGTAACTAGAACTCAGTTCGGAAGCCGAGGGAAAATTTTTCCATTGGAGCGGTTCGTAAGTAGGAATGTTTGTAAATAGGGCCGTTCGTAAGTCGAGGGCCCACTGTAACAATGTTAGTCTGTTTCAATATAGAAAGAAAGTAAAGCAAAATAAAACCAAGTCTGGTGGAAACTTAAAGACAAATATTTATTTCAGTATGAGCTATTATAGATTACTATCCACTTTTTCTGATGCAAGATAATGGGGAAAAGAGTCAACAATACAGGTGTTTCTTCTTGCTTTATATGAAAAGCAAACTTTAGGAACTCCATTGTTGTTGTTTAGTCATTAAGTCGTGTCTGACTCTTC